AGTTCAGTGTTTCATGCAGTTCAGTGTTTCAAGCAGTTTAGTGTTTCGTGCAGTTCAGTGTTCCAGGCAGCTTAGTGTTTCGTGCAGTTCAGTGTTCCGGGCAGTTCAGTGTTTCAGGTAGTTCAGTGTTTCAGGTAGTTCAGTGTTGCAGGTAGTTTAGTGTTTCGAGTCGTTGTAGTGTGGTGGCCAGTATTAGTATTTGTGTTGGAATGCAAGTGTGTTGACGGTATAGTTGGTTGATTTGGAAATAGCGAGTCCCTCTCAGCAAGATCAATTGAGTCTTCTGCCAAGTATAAGTAATCTGCAAGGATAATTAGGTAGGTAGCCTTTCTTCCAGGATGGAAGACTCAAGTTATTGGAAGTTGAGTAGTCAGATGAGAGATAAGCAGGCTGGCTCCACCAGCATCGATTCAGTATGAGTGGCAGAGTGGATAGAACAGTTATAGATAGTCGAAGTATCTTAAGAAGTCACTGGAAGCGACTGGGAGATTGCGAGGGGGTGTAGTGACCGGTTTGGGTCCGGTAACCCAGATATCGGAAGATTAGTTTGACCAGGGTGGTCTCAGTGCATCTGGTGGGTGGATGTAGGGCAACAAAATTTTCAGTCAGAGGTAGTAACGATAAGGGAAGTATGGTATGAGGCAGCAAGTTGGCAGAGGGTCCTATGCCTCTCACAGCAGGGTTGGATAATCTCATAGGGGAGGGCTTGAACTTGTTGTGCAGCTCTCGTATGAGTCTTAACCGTTGCAGGGATGAACCTTTCATTCAAAGGATTATATGATCCATTCGCTAGGATGGGTGCTCAGCACTAAGTGATGGAAATAAGAAGCATTCAGTATGTACCAGCAGTAGTGACCAACACTGATAGTGGCTGGGATGATGGACATTGTGAAAGGTATGATATCCACAGTAACAAAGGAGGTGGATAGCTATAGAAGGCAGCCTTGGGAAGGCCAAAGAACGCATGAGGAAACGAGAGTAAACCCTAAGAATGTTTAGCCTAAGTACTCGTGGAGTACCAAAAGGATTGCCAGTTGAGCAGAAGGTGTTCTCAGGAAGTTTGATGATTAGATTGTACTCGGGGATTTTATATGCAAGGATTATGCCATCCAGGATGACCGGGCAGAAGGTCAATAGAGTTAGAGACACTAGGCAGGGTGTTGGAGGCGGATGGCATGTCAGTTGGCCATAGTGAATTTCGAGGACGAAGTTCAGTTTAAGTGGGGGAGAGTTGTAACACCCGAAATCAGAAAGACCAAGAAAGGAAAGGAAAACCATATGTTAAAGGGTCCAGGGAGGAACTCGACGAGTCAGAGCAGGATCCGGGTGTAGAATAAGTGACCGACTCGGCGAGTCGGTGAGTGGACTCGGTGAGTCTGGTCTGAACGAGAAAAACCCTAATTCGGGGGTTTGCACCCTTTTTAAGGAACATTACACCCATTCCCCAGCCTCTTTACTCCTCTTTGAGATCCAAAAGCCCTAGAATCATGAGTGAGAACCGTTGGAAGCAAATTGGGGCATTGCTAAGTGTTTTGTGAAGAAATCTTAAAGATCAAGAAGCTTGGATCAAGGAGGTTCGTGGAGATTCAAATTCCTTTTTCGTAGGAGGATGTTTTGGAGGTAATGAATCGTTACCTTGGATTTCCCCCTTCTAGATCCATCTTTCATGATGTTTTAGGGTTTCTTTGAGAGTATGTGATGAGAATTTGGTGCACAAGTTAGATTTGGAGTTGAAACTCCAAATCTGAGCTCTATTTGGATCATAGATTCAGAAAGCCCTGTTAGTTGCTATGCAAAAGCCATTCCCCATGAGTTAAGTTCCTTTCTAGCTTGGTTTTTGGCATTAGGGGATAAGAAGCAAGTAAAGGTAGCAACTTTATGTTACTAATGGACTATAGAAACCCAGATCTTTGGTTTGGAGCAAAGGAGTAGCTCTGTAACTCAAGATTACGGGAATGCATATATGGACTCGGCGAGTCTGGGAGATGACTCGACAAGTCGGGCTAGATATCAAACTTAGAGTCGCGTTGGAACTCGACGAGTCACATGGGTGGACTCAGCGAGTTGGATAAAGTTAGGCAGCAACTCGACGAGTTGGAAGAACAACTCAGCGAGTTTATTGAAGATTGCCTTGGACTCGACGAGTCAAGTCGCGAAACCCCAAACCCTTATAGTTAAGACTCGGATCAGTGAGTTGGGTGAAGACTTAGTGAGTTGGATAGGACAAAACTATGAAATCAGTAGACTCGGCGTGTCGAGTCGCGAATGAAAGGGGTTTTATAGCTTATGAACTCAGCGAGTCAGGAGGCTGACTCGGCGAGTAGGGTCAACCTGGAAGGTTGATTGTGACCAGGACTTTGACTTTGACCAGAGTTGACTTAGTTGACTTTTGAAGGACTGTCAGACTAAGTATCATTTTGATATTGGTAGCTCAGAGAGCTAGAGGAGCAGCGACTCAGAAGGTTGTCAGTTTGCAGCCAAAGGGTTATCAGCAGAGCTCAACAGTTCAGGTGAGTTTCCTTCCAGTAGGAACGGGTCTAAGGACACAATGCCTACCCGTTTAGCTAGTAGTAGTTTCCAGACTTCGGTCTGATACTGTAGTTAGTATGTTTGATGCCTTTGTGGCTCAGACAAGATTTATATGTTATTTGTTCCGGGCTACGGCCCGATGCAGTATGCAGTATATGTATTCATGCTAGTTGATATGTTTATGTTATGCTATGTTCAGTCAGCTTCCGAACTTCGGTTCGATGCAGGGGGCATGGCCCCAGTTAGTCCGGATTTCGGTCTAATGCAGGGGACAAGGTCGCAGTCAATTTTCGGACTTCTGTCCGATGCGAGGGGGCAAGGCCCCAGTTAGTCCAGACCTCGGTCTGATGCAGTGGGCAAGGCTCAGTATGTGCTTTATATGTTATTGTATGGTATGTGATAGTTTGGGGGAGCTCACTAAGCTTCGTGCGTACGGTTTCAGTTTTTGGTTTCAGGTACTAAGTTTTCAAAAGTGGAGTTGGGAGGGATTGCAATGCACACACCATAGTTAGACAACCTGGTATGTTTTACTTTGATAACGAGATTATGTTTTGAATTAATACTCATAAATTTTATTATGACTTACGATACGTTTTTATAAATATGGTTTTAATAATGTATTAAACGAAATTTTTCGTCGTGATTTTTGGGTCGTTACGTTATAAGTATTTGCATGCTTGATCTATTGGTCAAGGGTTACTTACAAGAAATGGAAATGTAGAATAGCGAAGTATTGTCGCATCTTTTCACGATTATAACAACCAATGGGCTGAAATGTAGCTATAATTTGTCTCCCATCCATGATATTTCATGATTTTTTTTTCTGTACGTAGTTTATCACGAATATACGTTAGGGTTCAGTTATGTTCCAATTCTAATTAAGGCTATTTTATCAGTGTGGTTGTAGTTTTGTTGAATTGTGGTGGAAGTTGTATTAATGAATGACTTTAAAGATGGAAACTCATTGAGTTTGAGCACCCTCGAAGTCATATATCCTTTTCAAGATCAATACTTTTATTTTAATTCCGACTTCCCCTTTTATTTTTCGTTTTTTCACATCCTTAAAGCATAATTTCAGAAAATTTTGGATATGTGTATATATAGAAATCATTTCAGATGGTCAAGCAGCCCATGGGTAATTATAAGTGTAGTTCAAACGTCTGTCATTCCTAAACATATGATCTAATAAAAAAAACTCGAAATCCTTCTTGTTCTCCAATGATTACTGTTGTGAAGGGGGGCAATCGTAATGTTACTTCAGGTCAAGATATGCCTTTTGTTTATATTTGTAGTTTTGTTGGATTTTTCATGTATTTTTTTGGTTTAAATATGATTTTTAGTGTTTTGATTAGAAATGTCAACTAAAAATAAGTTACTTCGTATATTGATTACAATTTGATGGTAGAGTAATGATGAAAAGTTTGTTTTCATAATCGGTAAACACATATAATAACATCATAGTATATGGTTATTTATTTTTTAGGCACCACACTAACACTTTTAATTTGGTCTATTGGGCAACTTTTTTTTTTTTTTTTTTTTTTTTTGTCATTTTATGCAATAGCAACACTTTTTTCATTAATTAATAATAATTACTTTTTTATTAGTCCTCAAACTGGCAAAAAAATAGTATATGTTATTTTATGAAAAAACAAATAGTGGACGAAACATAATTTTAGGGAAAAAAACAATGTAAAACCCGTAATAATTAAACCGCTCGTTCCACCGGTCTAGTCCAACCGGCCTGTTTAAACCGGTTTTTAAAACATTGATCACTATAACCCGGAAATGTCAAGTAAATTTGCCATGAGCTTGAATTGATATTCTTGAACCCAATAAAATCAGTCGTTTCACACCGATCAAATTTGTGAAATTGTCTCACATCATCAATGTTGATTCTAGTGACATAAAGACATGACAAATCTATGATAAAAAAAAACTAAGCTAAGGTGTTTTTAAATAGAAAAACTCTAATATATGTAGCTAGTATCTAAACCCAAACATAACCTAACTTCATCCTCAAACACAAACAAATATACATTTAGTTTTCTTTACCCATCTATTATATGCATTTCAAGATAGAATCCAACAGAAAAACCGAAAACATTAAAGGAAAAAATAATAGCGCATAGTTACAGCATATTCATATTAATGTTGTTGCTCTTTTTCAAGATACAAAAGATTCCAACATACACAACTAACATTAAGGTGAAGAATAATATAAAAGTGTAATTTTTGCGTACTAACGAGTAGATAACTTTATCTAGGATCCTCTTTGAGATAACTCATGCACCTTAATGGATATTAGATTTATCTAAATATTAACGAATAATGTATTTATGTTTGCACCACTACAACTAGTTCAACCTTAACCTTCATCACTTACATCATCTTCAATCAATAAAAAAAAAAAAAAAAAAAAAAAAAAAACAACTAAAATCAATAAAACGAACATTCTTCTGCCTTCCGGATCAAGAAATGTCTCCAGCTATGGCTTGGTCTACATGATAAAAATGAGGTGGTGTGTAACCGAAGAACTTCACTCCTGCCAGCTTATAACTGCGGAAGTAATGCTCAAAAACTTCAGGTATCGACGGTGGTAGAGGGTCGAGAATGGCTCTGATCTTCATGTTTTTACCAACCCGATCATATTCTTCCATAACATAATTAAGATCTTCATCTGATGTAACTTTCACTAATGAGTACAAATCGTCCATAGGCAACTTGCACCTCAGGTTCATAGAAGGTCCACATATATCCCACATCTTCACGATCAGTTCTGTGTAAGTGATACTCGTATCCACAGTCATGATCTTGTTTGTTCCACCAATGTATTTGAGGTTGCCATCATTAGGACACACCTTGAACGTGCCGCCATAACTATAATGGAATTTTATCTTCTTGCTAGAACAGGAAGGCGCAACCATTGCTAATAACGGTATGGTAACAACCAGGAATATATTGTTAATTAAGCATTCTGATTATGTATATATATTTGTTGTAAAAGTTTCCTTATTCTAATAGGACAACTTTCCTTAAATCCTTCATGATACGTATCAACTATCAAGTGCTTCTGTTTGAAAATTAATGGGAGAAATAGCGTTAGATTTCTCCAAAAGTTAGTTTTTATTTTATACTTTCCTTGTATATAGTTATTTGTATCAAATTCTAGTTAGTCTGTTATTATCTTAATTAATTTTTAATCTTTATCGTTTATACTTATAATCTATAAACTAACTCTCTAAAGAATATACTATTAAGTATCCCTACATGTACATGTAAGAAACTTTGAGAACAAGAAATATTCTATTAGTAATTACAATGTATTTCTACTATTTATTTATTAAGTTTTTCAAAATTGTTAGTGGCTTAATTTTAAACATTTTCAAATAAGTAATAAGTCTTCTTTCAAAAAAAGTCGAGTGCCTTATTTGATTTAATAAACATGTATTGTGTGGTTACATGTTTTTTTTCTTAGTTATTAATTAATTATTGTAATTTATCAACTATTTTTAGTTTGGTTAGCTATCATTAAAATGATTTGTTAGTGTTTAAGTATAAAATATAAACATATTGGCAAATTGTTTTAATCATGAAAAACAAAAGAATTGAGATAGTATTATATGAAATTAATTTTTAATAAATAATAGACGTGAATCATAAAGATTATCCATTATTTAGATTGGAAAAAATATAATTATATAATAATATATTATAGGGTTGATGATGCATATGTAATTTTTGGCTATTTAGATGCGGATCCAAATTCGATGACATATACATCTAACCTCGTAAAAACATCTCTGGATCAATATATAACCTAGCTACCAAGATATTTGACCATAACACTCTCAATGAGTATTGTCTAATAAGTTTTTTTGTGTATGTCTTTATAAAACCATCTCCAAAATGTTTACCGAAAAGACCGAGGAAGGTAATTAAATTTGTTGCCAGCACCATTCATGTAACATCGATTTTTTGGGATCGGAAGTTTTTGGTATTTTGGTAAAAGTAAAAAGTTTTTGTTATTTAATTTTAAAATAAAATAAATTGAAATGAAATAAATAAATAGATGGAAGTAAGTGATTTTGATTAATAACCTCATAAACATTATTGCTAAGTTAAAAATAAATTATGATTGAGTTTCGTCGAAAGAAAACTATTAAGGTTTAGGGACTAAAGGTGACAAGTTGGGGAAACTTGTGTTTGCCCAAGGGTGTGACCAAATGAGCATCAATGATCGATTTTGTATGAGTTAAATTACCAAATGGGATAATAACTTAGGAGGGTAATAACGTTTCCTGTTTACTCATTTTAGGTCCTTAACGTATTTTTTGTGCGTATTACACCATTAAGGTTATTATAACCGTTTAGAAATAGTCATATTAACAGGAAGAAGCCGGTAAAAGGATTATTTATAAACGGTTATAACAACCTTAATGGTATAATATACACAAAAAATATGTTGGGGACCTAATATGGACAAACGGGAAACGTTATTACCCTCCTAAGTCATTATCCAATTAAACTATAAACCCCTATAATAAATTTTTACTTTTTAAATAAGAAAATTATAGGTCTTGGGGTTGGTAGTTTGGATGTTTTAACCTCGACCTTCTTTATAAATGGAAGTGACGGTTTCTTAATGACAATGGAGCTCTTCGGGTTAAAATTGTCAAATTTTGTCATGGGGAAGGTGGTGATTTGAGAATAGGAATTGGAGGGGGTGTTTGGCAAAAGATTGTAGGATCCATTAATCACCTCCATGAGAATGGTTGTATTCCTTCTAATTACATGTATAGAGTGGTGGGGGATGAGACTCAAACGGGGTTCTAGAAGGATGTTTGGTCCTACTCGAGCATCTTGATTAAAGGTCAAAGCAAAGAGCCTCCTGAACCGCTCCTTACGAGGAATATACAAGCACCAAACATCCTTCTAGAACCTCGTTTGAGTCTCATCCCCCACCACTCTATACATGTAATTAGAAGGAATACAACCATTCTCATGGAGGTAATTAATGGATCCTACAATCTTTTGCCAAACACCCCCTCCAATTCCTATTCTCGAATCGTCCGAAAAACCACTAGCTTCCCCATGACAAAATTTGATAATTTTAACCCGAAGAGCTCCATTGTCATTAAGAAACCGTCACTTCCATTTATAAAGAAGGCCGATGTTTAAAACATTCAAACTACCAACCCCAAGACCTATACGTTTCTTATTTAAAAAGTAAAAATTTATTATAGGGGTTTATAGTTTCATGGGATAATGACTTAGGAGGGTAATAACGTTTCCCGTTTGTCCATATTAGGTCTCCAACGTATTTTTTGTGTCTATTACACCATTAAGGTTGTTATAACCGTTTATAAATAATTATTTTACCGGTTTTTCCTGTTAAAAAGACTATTTGTAAACGGTTATAATAACCTTAATGATGTAATACGCACAAAAAATACGTTAGGGACCTTAAATGGATAAACAGAAAACATTATTACCCTCCTAATTCATTATCCCTTCCCAAATATGTTAGGTTTCTTGGGGCAAGGTCTTATCCCCAAGTCTTATGGTGGCCTTGTCGGTCTGGAGCTGCAAATATTTCGTTGATTGCGAACTAGTTGTGGAGACTAAAATCTAATCCATCATATCTGTGGGAAAAAATAATTATTCATCAAAGAAACCATAAAAACGGAAATTCTTTCTAGTAAAACTAGAGATTGTTGGCTCTGGAAACAAATTGTTAAATCCATTTTTGAATTCATGGATTGAGATGACTATATGCATTATTGGAATAAGTAGCCATGATAAAAGTTAATTTTTTTGGTTAGGGAGCAACAATTAACGTTTAAACTAATGTAAAACTAATTTATTACTTAAACGTACAATATTATATTTCCTTATATATTTATCGTCTCCAAAACATATCCCTTCGGATTATACTAACGAAGTAAAGGTGTTGACACATGGTCCGTTAAATGCATATTATTACACTATGTGCATAGTAAATGCTGTTCGACTTGTCGTAAGTAGCCGTGATCTCCGACACACTACTCAAAATAGTGGTGTTGTTACATTATGAGAAGACTGTACACCATTCAATGGTCAATTAAAGGAGATCGTATAGTTGCATTATTTATATGGTAACTATGTTGTACGTTTTCGTGGTAAATGGTTCAATGTGTCATTATGTAATGGACATTTAAAAGACTATAACTAATATGGTTGTTATCGATACCAATCATGAATGGTATGTCGGTAAAACATGGTATGAGGATCAACAATACATCTTAAACACATAAGCTAAACAAGTGTTTTATCTTTAAAATAATAACTGGAGATTTATGGAAGAAGCTCATCATTGAAAACTTTGGGATCATCCAAGTATTGGTGTTGTTAATGAGGTAGATGTTGTGAATGACATTCAATCAACTGATTTTACCTTGGTTGTCGACTTAGGCACATTGCCTGTATAGATGACTTTAGGTGAACTTCGTGAATCAAGTGTGGATGCTAGGAGGAATGTTTCTCCTACTATAAATGATGATGATTTCATTAACGATAACGATGACATTGGTGATATGTACTCTTCAGCTGATGAAATAAATAATGAAAACTATAGCAACGATTATTATGTTGTACATGTATATTGTTCTAGTGATGATTTTGATTTACGGTATGTTACGGTTATTATATATCCTAATTGCTTATAATATTTGTTAAAGTTTTAAATGTTGTTTATTTAAAAGTAGCTTTATTATATATTTTAGAAGTTTATAATATTTATTAAACAGATAGCAGAAGTCGCGAGGAGACATAGAGGAGACGGCAGGGATATACCTCCACACGGGGTCGTACACGGTTTACCAACGGGTTGTCAATCTTGTAAGTTACATGAAATTCTTAAGTATTAGATATATTTATAGAGTTTTAAATTTCTAAATTTCCAATTCTATGTGCAAATGTAGCGTAAGCAAAGAACATCAATGTATGTGGCAAAGGGAGAGACTTAAATTTGTAAGATGGGTATGAAGATTATGGTTGGAATCCTTTGGTCGTGAGCCTTGATACATCCGGGAGGAGTATCGATTCGTGGGGGGAAACATGCAATTGTTTGTCAGATTGATCTCAAATCTGGTGGGATTAGAGGTACCATTACATTATCATTATTGGCGCCATGTTCCTACCAAGTAAGTATCCTGATCTAGAAGTAAGTATTCAGTATATTTTATATTTATTGAATTTTACACTTATTAAATATTTCTTTTACTAATCAAATATGTTTTTTTGTAGACTTATTTTGTAATGCCCCATTCCTGGTACATATTCATTTTAATTAAGTGTTATTTTGGAAGAGCTACTCGGCGAGTTGTAGCCCTAACTCGCCGAGTAGATGTCGAGTGGATGCGGGCTTTAAGTGATCTACTCGGCGAGTCCACGCCTGGACTCGGCGAGTAGGCCAATCAGGAGGACACCATAATCCTTAGGGTTTGCACCCTATTTAAACGCCCTTACAGGCCCATCTCAACCTCCATTACCCTCAGAGCAATCCTTATCGAAACCCAAGCCTCCATTGGTGAGTTTGAGTGATTTGTTGCTTTGTGAAGGGACTTTTGGTGCACTTTGGAGCAAGTGTGTAACACCTGGTTCCTGGTATGTAAATCTTATTTGAGTATTTTCCATTTTTAGGCTTGGACTCGGCGAGTCATAGGTCTGACTCACCGAGTAGAGCCGGGACCCGGGACACGTTTTAAGTTGGCGACTCGACGAGTCCGTATCCTGGACTTGGCGAGTCACCGATGTTGGATGAAACCCTAAGTTTCAGGGGTTTGAACCCTATTTAAACTCTCATTCCGCCCCAATCTCTCCCCCATTCACCCTCTGAGCTCTATACCTTATTCAAGAGTTTTTTCTTTGTGAGTTTGAAGCATTT